AACAGCCCGGTGCCATTAATCTACTTGTTTTCACATGGAGCCTAGACCTATTAAGAGTTTCATCTTTAAAAATAAGAAGCCTTAGCTTTTCCAGAGAAAAGTTAACACTCAGACCTGGTAGCTAAAAGGCTTGGCCTCCTTAACATGGCAAAAATATCTCATTAGTCATTTTCCCCATATTGCTGTGATAAGCCTTTATTGTTTGTGGATTAGAGGGCTTCCTCAGGAACTGTGTTCTTCCAGAGATTGCCAGAAGGGTGTTGCTTGCTGTTTGAATAAGGAGAGTACTCAGTGAGAGTGGGGCATTATCAAACGTGTCCACAGATGCACACCTGAACCTCACATTAGCAGGGTAGGTGCATAATCACCTTGTTGAATATACAATTGAAATAACTACATACTGTTGAACTGCTTGGCTTTCGGCTCCTGCAGGCAATTCAGGCTTCCTTTGAGCCTTTGTGTCGTAAAGGAAGGGCCAGTGCGTTCTCACAGAGTGTTTGGCTGCGTTGCAACAAACCTGGTTACTGATGCCGAGGCATACTTTGATGGATGCACAGATCAAATGACTGTTGGGAGTGGCTTTCGGGGTGACGTCCCACGTACAATGATGTCAGCAAAAGATTTTAAAAAATTCAGGTGTGGCATAATCTGCCAATTAAACTGATTAGTGCTCTGGCTGAGTCCTGAGACGGAGCTCTGACTACAGCTCTGCCTGTTGAAGTCTTTCACGTAGTGCCTTTGGCTCACCTTGTACGAGATTTTTACCAAGTGCCTTCACTGCAGGGTGCTGTAAATTGTGGTAGGATACCATACCAAGGGCTGTGTGCTTGCTCACTTGCCATCAGGGGAAATCTGATACTGGCTCACAGATGTCCCTGACCGTGTGGAAGTTGTGACACTGGAAGAGGTCCTTCGACTCCCGTGGGATCGGGATGGAGTGCATCACTGCTCTGTTGGCAGAAGTGAAAGCTAGCCAGGAGGCAATGCAGGCTGGGCAAAAGGCACTAAAGCATGATGTGGAAACGTCTCAGAAGGAAATCAGAACGGTGTTAGCATTGCAGAGGAGCCAGCAACAGGTGAAAGAAGATCTCAAAGCAGAGGTGAAGTCCAGTCACTTGGATATAAGAGCTGTGCTTGAGGAAATCCAGCGAGTAAGAGAAGAAATGGAAGCTCGATTAAATACTCAGGCTGATCTGGTGTTACTGATCAAAGAAGTGAGCACCAATTTAACATGTGTAGACAAGGCTTTCCAGAAAATGGAGGAGAGGCAGAAAGTTTTTACTAGCCTGCACCTTCCCACGAGAGAAGATGTTGAGCAAGGATTTTTCTTTGAAAAATGCTTACACCAGACGCATATGGGTTTTGAAAGACCTGTGGAAGTTAACAGTTTGGATGATGAATGTGAAAAGAAGGTGCTTGGGGGTAAGACAATTGTGACTGTAAGTGTGGGGAGAGAAGTGAGGTTGTTTCTACTTGTGCTTGTCAAGAAATTTGTTTATTTTGGTTGCTTTTAAAAAATGTAATTGTTTTTAGAAATTGAATGTCTTGCTTAAAATAATTTGTAATTAGTGTAGATACTAATACTACTACATATACCTTCCTAGTACATGATATGCAAAGGAAGGCTTTGATTTGGTTCTGCAATCCAAAAAAGTGTGTTAGAGATTTTTCTGGTAATCCAGAACAATGCACATATAGGGTGCTCAGGAAACCAGTAGCACAATGCAAGCTCTGAGGTAGCCAGCCAGACAAATACTGTGCCAAGTACTGGGCAGAACCCCAGCACCTAAATGTAACTTTATGGAACACACCCTATGTACTGACAGTTGTGTATTTCTTGCCTCTGAATGGCTATTAACTAGAGAAGCTATGCATGAGAAGCAGTTTGCTTCATAGAGAAGCTTGGAGTTGGTCTAATGCTCTCCCAGTGAACTGGAGGCTGCTGTGCCATCCGTACAATGGCTGTGGGGGGAGTGAGAGGATTTGTGGACCTTTTCCAAGATCCAGATCACACCTTCTGTGAATGATTCAATCATCAAAAGGCTTAGTCTTTGCAAAATCACTGCTATTTTTTTTTTTTTTTACTGGTGAAGGATAGGACTTTAGATGGTGATTCTGACCAGTTACTGTACTACATACAGTACTTGAAAATGGGATTTTCTGTCTTCCAAAACTAAGCTTTCCAACTACCAAGCTTTCCACTGGGTAAAGGGGTTTTGAGCCTGCTGGAGAGGAGTCTAGAACCCGATTTAAAGGAGGAAATTGTTCTGTGTTACAAGTCTGACTGTATAGAGGTGGCAGGTGAACCGGCCCAAGTGAGAAGGGCTTGGGCTGTTGACCAATACTGTCTTTAAATTAGACTCTGTCATTGATGTGGTGGTATCAGTAATCACACTCATGATGCTTTTGTCTTAATGAAAGCATGGCTTTTGTTTTGACACCACAGCATGCCTTCTATACAAATCTGGAAACGATCTGTCATTGCCCAGAGGTACATAGGCCATAAATAAACATCGTAGTGTCAGTGGTGTTAATCTGTAGAGGCAGTTCATGCTACAGAGGGCTCATGCTTTTCAGCATTTGAAGTGACTGTGTATAGCACATGTCTGTGATAAAATTGCCAACAGGAATGTCACTGAGTTTCACTTCATGCATGTTTTTTGTTCAGCTTTTTTTAGTGTAGTATCAAGGGCTGGCTGGATTGGATGCTTGAATGAGCTTCTTGGAAAATACTTGGTGGTCTGGGCAGCAGGATAAAAGCAGTGGTATGAAACTGACAAAGTGATAAAGGCTGGCTGAACTGAAAACAATGGATATTTGGAGCCTTTTGTCATTTGTGGTTAGCTGCTGTATCACTGTATTTAAATGAAACTTCTGCATTAGGTAACTGACTGTGTGATGTAATTTTTCCCCAGCATAAAAATTGTCTGCAATTGTTCAGATTTAACACAGCTCTGTCAGCATCCTAGAGATGGTTGTAAAACTAATATCAAATATTTAATTAAATTATGACACTAGCATCTGTATCAGTGAATTTACCTAATACTTTTACATCAAGGATAATGCTCTAGTTCTCTATTTGTCATAAGTGAAGAATTCAGGAAGGGAGGTGGAATATATGAGAGAGTAGGAGTATGTAAGGCAGTAGGGAAGGGAAGAACTGATTTCTACATGTTTATTCTCTCGTCCCTGTTCTTCCTCCCTGCCCCCCCCCCCCCCCCCCCCCCCTTGATTATTATTTGTTGTGATTTTTGAAGGAGCTTCAGAAGGTAACCAGTACTTTCCTACACACAGTATTGTCCGTAAGATTGCTGGAAATTTGACATGGTTGCTCTCAGATATGAACTGGCATTTGTGTAAAAGTGTCTACTTAAAAGACATTGTTGCACAGTCAGAAAAGAAGTGGTCATGTTAGTTAAATAGTGGTAAAAATAACTGGAACTGGCAGCCAAGCTCGATTCTTTTGTCCTACAAATTTGTATTTTGATTTGGGTTAGTTTAATATTAGAGCTTTTAATGGCTCTAATATTAAACTGCACAATGGTATGTTTCTAATTTTAACAGTCTTTAACAGTCTGCATCTCTGAGCAGAAGTGTAGGGAAATCTCCAAGAATACAAGGGCATTTGAACATTATAAAGCACTATATGCTGACAATTCTCTAACTAGCAGAAATTCTTGCCCAGAGTGGATTTATCTGGAAAATTAATAGGCCTGGGAGGCACTTTCTACCAGGCTCAGTAAGGAAGGCATAGAGGACCTTAGTATTTTGAACAGAAAAACTTTTCAAAGACTTTAAAAACAAATGTGGGCTGTAGGAGGCTGATGTATTAATACAATAGCTGATATGTCAGTCAGACTAACATTAACTGAGAATCAAAGCTTTTGTTCTTAATACTTTCTCCAGTTGTGAGATTGAACCTTACACTGTTGGGATGATTCTAGGGTCATTTGACAACCTTCAAACTAGGTGCTTGGGATTCAGAAAAGATTGAGTCTTGTTGCTTAGTTTGTCCCCTGTTTTTCTGCTGCATGTTCCTATCTTTCTTTTATCCAGATCTCACCTCTCAGGTTTTTTCACTCTATCATGAAGAAATCTTGTTAAGTTAAAACTGTACAAAGTAATCTGCTTAGATGTCTTCATTAAATTGCCAAGGGATATTTATCTATTGCATCAGCCTTTTATTGCAAAACTGTTTTCTCATTCCCTTTGTGATCAAGGGGGGAAGACTGGCACTATCTGCACAGCAGTAATGTACTCCCTTTCCAGTTTGAAGGCAGCAGAGAAACCTGAAAATACAGTGTTTACGAGTCAAGTGCTGATTTATGTAATCTGTTTTCCTCTGACATAAGGTGATTGTGTACTGTGAAAGCATTGAGGTTGCCACAAAACTAAGAATATTAAATCAATAATGTAATTTCAGAACTGTGAATATATATTGAAATATATTACATTTTAGAGCTTTCTTAAAGTCTTATCCTTGTGACTGAAAATTGCTAGCACTAAGAAATGCTGCAAGACCTCTAGTTAGCAAAGCTCAGGCCTCAGCTGCAGGGAGGGGAGTTTTTACAGTTAAAATTTTAAAAGGAAGAAGAATAACAAGGGAAATGTAGAGAAAATGGTTTTGTATTCAGCAGTACTTTAGACTGCAGGAAATATGAATTCTATGTTGCACACAAAAGACGACAACTCTTATGTTAGAAATAAATTACTGAATAGATAGCCGGACAGATGTCTTGCATTTTATAAAAGTATTTTTCCAAAGCCCAGTGTGAAGAGTATGTTGAAAAGTATGCCACAGAACATATGAAGATGAGGATGAAGTACAGAACATGGTATCCTCTGCAATGCTACTGAAATAACCCTTTCTCCTAGTTAGTATTTCAGCAAGTGTTTGTAGGAATTTATAACTATTTTCTTTTGCACCTGTCCTTTACATTGTGGTGAGATTTCAGCATGAAATGCATATTGATCCGTTGTTGTTGTTGTTGTTTTCTTAGTTGACAAGGGCAAGCAGCGGAGTGCCAAGAGTTCATGCATACGCACTCAAGCTTCCACAGATGCACGTTCACCTGGCACTAAAGCAGCCGAGTTGATACAGTACAAAACAAAATGTGAGACCCAAAGTGGAATCATCCTGCAGCTGAAAAAATTCCTGACATCCAGTAACCAGAAGTTTGAAGCATTAACAGTTGTCATCCAGCACCTGCAGTCTGAGGTAAACACTCACAGCTCATCAATTTTGGCTTTAATTGTTTGACCTCTTCTCAGCAAGGGCTTCAGAAAATATTAATATACTCATACTAAATTTTGTGTTTCCATTGCAGTGGTTTCTGTTTTCCTGTGGAATTTATACTTCTAGCATTAGTTGGCTAGAAAAAGAATCAAACTAATGACATTGGGCTTTGTGGCCTCTGCATGCTTCACATGCCCTTTAAAAGAGTTTTTAAATGCTTGTAGTCAGAGTCCTTCAGGGCTGAGTAGCTTTCCAAGTGTACTTCAAGTTCTACCCTTGTAGGAAAGACTAGTTTCAACAGATAATGTACATGGCCTTGCTTTGTTATCTGACATTGGATGGAAGAGTATTTAAGGGGTGGATATGTTTTTGAGCTACTCAGAAGAAAGTCTGAGTTGTTACAGTTTTATTTATTGAATCCTGCATTGTTGATGGGGTCTTAAAATTACTAGTAAAAATACAGAACTGCATCTGGAATTACAGAGTGGAATGAATCGGATGTGGCTTATTCTTAATTTTTCTAATCTGTTTGGAATATGTAATGACTTAATCAGTTTGATACTACACTAGAAACTGTTGGTCTGCTTTGAAAACTTTTGAGAAAATAAAAATGTGAAGTCAAGGAAATTAGTTATAGATTTATACTGCACAGCTGGTGCAGGCTTTAATAGCCATTTCTCTTGCATTTATAACTAATGTTGTAAGACTGGTATCAATTTCCTTTCAACTCTTCTGCTATGTGGTGATTTTGCAGTCTCTATACAAAAAAGCACTAAGTTGTCTTAGTATTCTGGCAGAAATGTAACATTCTCATGGGATAATATCTGCTTGCTTTCATTTAATCTAAAAATACTGCATTTATCTCCTAGTCTGGTTCAACTCTTAAGAGCAGTGGCTCGTAGCCAGTTTTCTGGGTTTGGTTTGGTTGGGTTTTTTTAAACTCTTGGTTGAAACACCTTTCTCTGCCTAAGGAACTAGTTTGAGATCTTCAAAGCAATTTGATACAGGATTTTTGGATGCCTTTCATCTCACATGATATTGTGAAATTTTAAGTGAAACTCTCCCCGCTAAACTTCTGCACAATCTTCTTATTATGGTAGAATAAGCACAATGAGTTTTTCAGTAACTCTTAAAATTAAATGTCTTGGCCTAGTTTCTTCTCTCCAATATTTTTATTGCAACATTTTAAAACTCACAAATACTTGATAAATGTCATGTTTAGCAAGAGGAAGCCCATCATACTAATTTGCTTCTTCTGGGCTATTTTACAGGTTGCTCTAGCCTAAATGTGGGTTTTTTTAAAGAATATTCAGGGGTTTAATTAAGGAAAAAGTGATTTTTAAGGAGTGAAGAGGGAACTTCATGGAAGAAACTAGTGATTTTGCTCCTTATTTCTTTTTGTTAGTCTTTTGCAGATGGAAAGAAAAAATATCTCCATCAAATTATATAAAATTACTAATCTTGGACAGTTAAGTTTGCGCACATGAAATTGAGCTAGGTATGACACAGTGATGTATTTGCATACCAGTTATTGATTTTGAGATTGCTCTCTCCTTTCCTGGGGTAAGACAAATACTTGCTGAAGCCTCATTGCCTTACTCTTGTGGAAGTACCACAGGGATGACAAGGACTCTTCTGCCGTGGTACTGTAAGCACTACTTGTTAGTTAGCTGTGGGAAACATCCTGAAGGATTTCACTGTTCAAGGGAACACTGTGAAGAGAAGTTTTAATTTTGTCCATTTGTTTGAGTTTTTTCCTTTATGGTGAGGGGTGGAGTCTGGTACAGCTAACAGTCTGAGCTGCCCATACGATTATTTGCCTGAAGTATTACTTGGGGAACCCTTTGATGTAGTTTTCAAACTCTGGATAAACTCAGGGAAAAATTTCAAGTTAGGCTGTAACTCAAGAGGTAGGTTTTCATAGGTTAACTACTGCAGAGCCAACTGAAAGTAGCCTCAGCTTTTCTGTCTTTTTAAAAAAAAAATTTAAACCATGCTTAGCTGATTACACGAGGAACAAAGCTGTGCTTCCATTCTTCCTGCTGGAGCAAGTGTGAAGTGACATGATGCAGCCTAAGAAACAGCTTGCTGGAACCAGAGGGAGGACCTGCTCTGGACTCCTCTGGTGCTGCTCTGTTTGTACAGGAAGCCAATTCAGCTCACCACTACCAGAAAGCTAAACGAGCATAATAAAGGAGCATTTCTTTGCCAGGTGGTGATGTGGATTGTCCTAATGTTTGGTCAGAGCCATTGTGAGGGTGAGATGGGGTGAAGGACCGGCTGCCTGGCCAAATGGAGTAAAGTACTGGAGTGAGCACTTGGGTCACTTCAAGGCTGGGCAGCCAAGCATGAGCCTCTTGGCAAAATCTGCTGCAGCCTCTCCTGCTTTACTGCCAAAGCTGAAGTGACTGGAATGTGATTTGGCTGTTAGATTTGTTGGGTTTTACTGTCATGTTTTTTTCTTTTCTTCCCCAAGAGTTTCCAGTGTGTTTCTGCACAAAAGATTAATGTTGTTTCTTAAGAGCTCATTTGAAGTAGAATATAGCTGCAAACAAAATCAGGACTTGCTGGCAATGACTTCTGTCAAAACTGCAGCTAGCCCATTGGAGTGAGGTTGAGAGGCTCAAAGGGTTAAATGGGATTGAGCAATGCTGCTCTGATGTTTCTAGCTGAGCAGGAATCTCTGAAAAAACCCTGAACTCAAACCTGTTTGTTATAAGAGTTACCTTGGAGCTGTCAATAGTAACAGCTGCTTCTGATGATAAAACCTTCCCACTTGATCTGTTGGTGTTTCTTTAGGGAGGGTGGGGAGGGTGTCTATGCTTAGCTACATTTACCAAGACTTTTCTGAGTTAAAAAATCCTGAAAGTCTGATTTCTGCCTCGCAGGAGCTATTGTTGGGTTAATGCTAGATGGAAAATGAATCTTGGCATCCAGAGTATTTGATGGCAATGAAAAGTGTGGCTGATGAGAACACGGAGTTTTTCCATTGTTGGACAACTGCGTGTGTGCTGGCACTGATAGGAACACAGGTTAAACTGCACACTAATCACAAAAGCAAGTTGACTCTTTCTAGAGTACTGTGCTTCCCCTGATCCCCTGGTAATTCCTGTTACTTCATGACTACTTTCCTGTTTTTTTAAGTTCAAACAAGAAACGAAAGGTGGTAGTACAGAGGAAATGGTGAAATTGGCCATTTACCATAAGCACATGAAGTGCCAAGAAAAGCAGTTTTCCATTAACCTTCAACCGCACTGAGCTCTGAAATTTGCACTACTGCATTTGATAATTTTGATCTTTTAACTTCCACTAGTATTCATTTTAAATGTATTGTCCCTTCATTAAGAGATATGTTCAGAGATGCTTTAAATACGTGGTTAGCATGTCTGTGATAAGTCAGGTTGGGGATGCCACTCTTGCCTCTCTTCCCTAGCCCTTGTGTATGCTTTGGCTTCTTTGAGAAGCCAGTAAAAAAAATTACTGTGGGTCTAGTTTTACAGGTCCGTCCATGTCGAAAGTGTTTTGGGTATGTCCCCATGCAGTGGTTCACAGTGGGAAGGAGTGGAAGTGAAGAACTGCCAGTGCTGGGGTGGGATGAGAATGTGTGCCTGAGAGGTCTGCAGCTGTGGCTAGGAGCCAGCTGCTCCCTTGGGAGGCAAAAAACCCCAGTACATCACCAGCTGACAAGGCTGAGGCTATGGCAGCTCCTGCCTGAGCCTCTGCTTCCTGCCTCCCGAGAGGTGTTCAGCCCCTTCCCCTGCCTCAGGGCTGCCCCCCAAGGCTGTGTGAGCCCTGAGGCAGGGCTGTTCTAACCTCCAGCTCTCTGCTGTGTATAAACTCTTATATCTTTTGGAGTGGAGGGTGATTGTTTTAGCAGTGTGGTACTAGCTTGGTTTTAAATCTAGTTTCAAATTTGTCTGTTTAAGGCAGATTTAGCTGTCAAAGGAAAGGGTAATATGTAATTAGAATGGCTTTGTAACCATTCAAAGTGTGAACTGATAGATATTTCATCTTCTCATTTTAGTGCATTAACTGCTACATTCAGAACTACATAAACTGTTAAAAATATTTAGATTATAAAATGTTTAGTTATGAATATCCATTTTTATTTTTCTAGTTTAATAAATTAATCCAAATTAAGTATCTCAGTAATTCTCTCCAGATTCTGATATGGAAATAGGCTTCAAATTTGTATCTGTGAAACAGGGTACTATAGAGATGAAAAGAAACACAGTTTCACTGTTGTGCTTTTCTTGGTATGGTCATGGCAATGCTGCTATTTACTGGTCAGACTTTACTTGGAAATGTTGTGGTGCCATCTTTAAGAAGTTTCATTAGTAGAGGAAAAGGCCATTTGAGAGGGTATAGAGCCTTGACAGTGGGTAACACTAATTGTGGATGTGACACAGGAAACAACATGAGGAATATGCTAGAAATGATGTGACCGAGCAGGCTTCAGCATTTCTAGGTGGAAATAGAAATTAGCCATTAGTATATGACCTGTTGGAACTGGCATTTCCTGACATGTGCATGATCATAAGAGTCAAGATACTAGTTTCCTTGGGAACTTAGCAGTTTAAAATTGGGGTTTTTTCCATTTCGGAATACATGAGCACATCTATCAGAAATGTTTGTCCTGGCCTTTGTGGAAGTTCAGCAGAAAATGTTTATATTTATCAAATGAGAAGTGCATATCTAGGTTAAGGGGCAGAAGTACACATTGCATCACTAGACCCCAAGAGTTTTGGAACAGTCATCTTTTGACCTATATGTCCTGTTGTTTAGAGCAGCTGTCTTTGAGGAAAACTTTTAGTTTTGATTTTCTGGAAGTTAACATCAAACTTGGCCAGTTTTCTTTAGACTTTTCATACCAGGTGTATCTGGCTTCCCAAACTATGGACATAACTTTTTACAAGAGACAATAAGGATATGTAATTGAGATAATTTTTGTGCTTACTTTGAAAAAAAAAAAAAGAAAAAAG